CTCTCAATGTATCGTTACCGATAATGCCATCGAAAGATCTAAGGCTTCGTTGTTTGGGGATAGTTGCACGTTGGCATGGTCAGTTACTTTTATTTTGGCGCAGAAAGAACTGCCTACAAAGGATTTTTCATTTGTAATAGGTTTTCTTATGTGTTTGGGTCGAAAGTAATTTTTGTTCGACCCTGTGTCTATTAAAAATTTTAAAATATCTCCACCGCCATTTTTATGTTCAAGATAAGGCAGTGAAGTTTGCCTTAATCTAAAAAATGAATGTCTTCAAGCTGGTCTATTTGTTCATACTGCGGGATTTCAATTGGGTCCATATTTTCATTACATGTTTCCTCTGGATTTGGTTCTATTGTGCTTCCTCCATCATTGTCCTCTTTACACGTTATATTGTAGGACCTTTGATGTTTGGGAAGCATTCCTTGTAATTGTTGTGAGGTTGCGTGTTTCTGTAAATATGTTTGGTATTGGTTCGGACGAATTGCGTAGTTTATGTGTTTGGTCTGGATGCTCCTGTCTACATCCATTGGTTCATCACGTTGTTGTGGTTTTGAGGGCAGTGCTTGTTGGTATTCACGATTTCCATGTTGATATTGTCTGTCAAATGTTGAAGGTGATCTTGGATGTTGTCTTTGGAAAATTGAAGGTGGTTTCTGCTGATTGTAGAACGGTTTCCCGACTTCTGGAATGGACTGATAATAATTCCTTATTTGCGGTAAAGGTGGAGCTATGTTCCTTCGAATTGTGACTTGGCGTATTATGTCCTGTAGTTCACATTATGAAGCTTTAAGCTTAAATGCAATGCTTGTGGCAAATCTGTTGTTCCCCTTATGCTGAGTAAGCGAGGTAGATCGCCTGTAAGTCCTCTAATAAATGTGTTCAGCACTTTCTCGCGGTATGCCTGAGTCATGTTATTTAATGATTCAGTACCCACGTTCATTTAAGAGTGTTTATTTAGAATTAAAGAAAGATGCTGGTAAAGATCTTGATAGAACTCCTGAACACTTTTACTTCCTTAGATCAGCGTCGTCGTCTGATACTCAAGTACTCCTAGGTTCCTCTTGTCCGCACAGTGCATGGTCAGGCACTTTGACATTTTATTCCACTTTAACGGCGTATTGTAGGACTCAAGAGCTATGTTCACTTGTCCTACTATTTTGTTCCGTATTACGTTCAGTATGCCATAGTATTTAGGACTGCCTTTCAGATGGTTATAAATTCCTAATATCCTGTCAATGCCTTTTTTTCATGAGCTACATTCTTCTGGTTTTCCCGAAAATACTCTTAGGCTTTTGGCTACGTCTGGTATTGACTTAAGTTCGTTTAGGTTATCTCCCATTGAGATATCAACTGTGTGGTCAGTATTGTCGTCTTCTAACTCTGGGTTAATTATTTCGGGTAGTTACCCGTCTTCCTTCGTCACTTCTACTACTAATTCTCTTATCTGTGCTTGCATATCGGACATATTCAGAACGGTCGATCTTGTATCTGTAGTTTGACTTTTGCTTAGGATGGATGATCTGATTAGATTTTCAGTGTTCATTTTGTTATTTCGGTAGTTTGGTATTATTTATTTATTTATTTATTTATTTATTTATTTATTTTATTCCACTTATACTAGAAAATTGAGTATAAGCATAATAAAACAAATAAGAAGAAAAAAAAAGAAAAAGAAAAAAAAGCATGTACACTATCAGCATAGGAGCACACTTACAACCGGTACAGGACCAAATTGCAAATGAACCCCTAAGCCATCGCAAAAATGCATATTAGAGGGAGGAAAGAAATATTTTATTTAATGTTGTAATATTCCTATTTTTATATTCGAATAGCTCGTGATTTGTCGCGAAAGAAAAAAATTTGACTTTAGTTTTATCATCTTCAGATTTTGATATTCCGATAACTTTTGATTTGTTGAAAAATGCTTAATTTTAATTTTTTAATATTCGGATTTTGATATTCCGATGACTTGTGATTTGTCCAAAAATTCTTCATTTTAATCTTGTGATTTATCGGAAAAATTTCGTAAATATAATTCTGCTTTAGGCTTACTTGCTAAAAAAATTGAAAAAAATTTGAAATTCGCAAATTCTTCCCAGATTTTGCTAATATTAATTTATTTTTGTTTGTTGATTGCTAGTATTTTCTTTTTCATTTGCCTTGATTTTATTTTCTCTTAAATTTGTTCCTTCTGCCTTCTTGGCTTTTATTTAATTTTCCCTTCAAAAAAATTTCCAAATTTATTTTCTTTTTGTTTGTTTTGTTTTTTTTTAATATTTTTTTTAATATGTTTCTCTTTTCTAAATTCGTTTTTTTTCCTTATTTATTTTCAATTTTAGTTCATTTGCTCTTTGCTCCTTTTGCTTGGCTACTTCTCGGACTGTTGGTGCCTTTTGGTAACTCCTACTTGGGGGCCTTGCCGCTTCCTGTGCTTTTCGAGGTTGACCGGAACTTGCGGTACGTTTCTTTGTTTATGTTAACATAGTTTATAACAGCTTTTTTCTCTTCTTTTTAATCACTTGAATTTTTGAGTTCTTTTCACTTATTTATTATTATTATTATTATTTTTTTTTTTGACGAAATATTGTTATTATTTTCATTTTTTTTTATTTTTCCTAAGAGCATTTGTTTGAATTATCCTTTGGTCAATGCAGCTTCTATTACCACCGCTGTTCGCAGTGTCTCGGTCCTTCCCTCTCTGGAAAAACTGCTCGGGCGCCAGTTAAATAAATTTTTTTTTACTTTTGTGTTGATTGGGTGGTTAATTAAAACGCAATTTTATTTTGTCTTTATTTAACAATTTTTATTTTACAATTTTTTATTCGCGTTGAGGAATTTTTTGGATGTTAACACAGACGATGTCTAGCAATGAACTAATTTTGTTTTATCTTATAGGAAACCTTTGGGTTGTCCAACGGTTGACAGTCAGTACTTTTAAAATAATGTTTATAGTAGGGTGCAATACGAGATTGGTAAAAATTATTTAGAGTAGCGTGCAATGTAAGGTTGGTGAGAAATGTTTACAATGAGTTCATATGACGCTCATTGTTTATGAAATTCTATGCCTGTTTATTTTATTCATTAGAATGGTTCGCGAAATGAATGCTTTTGTTAGGATGGTCCTTAACTTATACATTACAAATAAACATGAATAAAAACCAAATTTAAATCTTACCGCCGTTTAAAATTATAAAAGTATTTTTTTTTATAACGTAAAGCAAAATTAAATTAGAAGAGCAGGATAAAGTAAAACGGTCATCGGACCCAAATTCGGAATCTTCCATTCAATCATGGGCCAATTGAGATCTTATGTACGGCAGGGTATAGAGTGGCTCTGGCCATATGATCAGACCTTAGGTACGGCATGTATGTTTCGTCCATCTGCTCATTTTCATAACCCCTCAAACATTTTTGAGATTTTTAACATCTTCTTACGAAAATCCCAAATCCAGTTAATTTTAGCTAAGTAATTTTCCCTAATAATAAATTCCCTAAAGAACGAAAAACCAAATGGGCATTCGCAGGCGTCATGCAACTACAGGCCCATGAAAACAGACTGGGTTTAGAAATAAAACCATAAATTTAGGTATAGTAACATGCTTTTAAAAATGTATATAAATAGAATATTTTTGGAAGGGAGAGTTAGTCGGGCAAGAACATAGAAGTTGAGAGTACGGCCAAAATAAATTGAGAATAATCCTACATTTAAGGAACATAATTGTAAATAGATGATGCTACCGTTAAGGAATATACTTGTAAATCAAAGAACTTTGGAGTGTATTTCTCTTGATCAAAATACCCATGATCCAGTGATATAGACTGTATTTTACAAAGGCGAATTTTATAACAATATATATTGTTTTGTTACACAATATGTGACAAAGGATTCGATGTTTGATCGTAGACTTGTGTATGTCACAAACTATCTTATAAAAAACGAAAAGCAGACAATAAAAGCGATTTATTTCCAAATTTAAATATATTTTATTTGTAGAATCCACCTGCCTGTTCCTTCTTTCGAAATCCTTTTTCTTCGTTGGTCGCCGTTAGTGCAATCCTACATATTTCGATTATCGATTACAAATTGCAATATCTCCTAATAACAGAAAAAATGTTTCTTCCTTTTATTGTTACGAAAAGAACAGCTAAGTTTCATAATTCTTTTTAAAACCCTACTTAAACAAATTGAAATTACAAAATAATAATTAGGCATTATTTTAAGGTAAGTGTGGCAAAATTATAATAAAAAAGATTTATTTCACTACAAGAGTCAGCTTGTTTTCCATGAAATTCGTGAAGCGGCAAAAATTATTTAAAAAGAATGAGTTCTCAAAAACAGTAGAAAAATTTAACTTTACGTCAAATCTCCTGCACTAGTGTAATAATCATGACTATTTATGTTCGTTGAAAGACAGCGGAAATATGGTACAGTGCGAAAAGTATCACAAGTGATTCCACTTTGAATGCTTTGGCGTTAACAGCGATATATCGAACATCAGCTGGGGGTGTCCAGTTTGTGGATTCCAGCATCACTTACAACGCAAGATAAACTTGCTTCCACAAGAAACTTCCTCATTGAAAAAAGACACTCATATCCATGGCAGCAGGCACATCAACTCCGCCGCTGCATACTGTTCTGTTCCTACTAGAGATGCATGAATACAAAGACGCGTGAACATAAGCAGTGAATGTCCTACGTTAACAACACATAGAGGAGGCGGATGCAAAGAACACTAAGCACAGATATATGAAAATGCGGAGCAATTGGTTCAGGCGACCCGGAATATATCACCCATAATACTACCAACAAGCACACAAACCGGCTTTCAACTTTAACCCAAGAGAAAGAAGAACCCGGAAGAAACACTGTTATCCACTGGCAGTTTTAAAAACAGCACTGAGTTTGGCAGATGCCGAAAACCTAATAAGGCTTCAATCTTTCCTTCGTGGAAGAGCCCGATAAGCTGTAAAAGCAAGATTTTTAATACCTCCATTTGTCCCGAATGTCATAAAAATGCTGGAAATGTATTTAAAGATATTTTAGAGAATCTTATATAAGAGATGCGGAAAATACCGTCGTTGAAAGATCGGCTGGATGTCTCAATATATTATGCCCTAATGGTACGTAATGTACAATCGGTCTTAGGGTCATACTAAATGGATCTACATGTTCCGATGTAACGTTAAGTGATCGGCCCATGATTTTGAACCCTCAAATCTCTTTGCTAAATCCCTCAAACGAAATTTTGCAGCGTCTAATTCCGATTCACCTGTCAATTATCCGTATGCGATATTTAGCTCGGTTTTGATTGCTAACTTAGTCATTTCAGAAAATGACGTTTTGGATAGTCTCTAAAATATACATATGCGCCTCGACCTGATGGGATCCCACCAAGTATACTTAAATCATGCTCCTTCGAACTATGTGGTGTTATTTCAATGATTTTTAATCAGTCCTTGATATTAGTAAAGCGTTTGACTTAGTTAACTATAACTTATTGATCTTCAAAATGTATGTGTCTGGCTTTCCTTTTCACTTAGTGAAACGGATAAGCTCTTAGCTGCATGAGAGATCGTTCAGTGTTCTGCTTAACTTCTTCACCTCGCATGAATTCTCCGCGAAGTCTGGCATACCTCAAGGCAGCCACTTAGGGCTCCTTTATTTAATCTATAGAATAATGATATCCCCTCGGTGATTAAATCTTCTTTCCCCTTGGAATCACAATCGTGCCGGTTTCAAATTCACTTAAATAATTTGATTACACGGTTCTCGTTAAATTTTATGAAATTAAACCTGAAAAATGCAAGAAGGTTTCTTTCTTAAGAAGGAAGTGAATATTTCATTGGCTCACACAAGCTGGAAAACGTTGATTCGTTTATCGATTTAGGGGTTTTATTTGACCAAAGAGTACTTTCTAATTTGCTCATTAAGCTCTCTTTAAGTAAAGCTAGGACTGGTCTTGGTTCCACTACTACCAAAGGATGGAGCTTAAGGATCCTTAATATTACAAACAAGCTACACATGTGCTTAGTTAGACCAATGCTTGACTATGTCTCGGTTATGTAGTCTCCCTCCTACGGGTGTTATATAGATTCAATTGAAGGACTTAAAAATTCATGCTTGCTGTTTGGCCTTAGGAATTTGGGTTGTGACCCGCTGGCCCTAATATGTCTCCTTATGAAAATAGGTCGCATCTGTTATCCTTACTGTGAAAAACGTAGGGTTATTCTTGGTGCCTCCTCTTTAGTTAACTTAATTAATGTTATTATCGATTCGTTCACATTACTTGGTGAGATAGGTTTCAATGTCCCTAACCACTTCTCTAGACACTTTATGTTAATTAAACTGAGTCAATGTAAATATAGTTATGAACGTTTAGAGTTGTTTGCAGAAACCTAAATGATATCTACCACTTAATCTCAATATCAGGCAAACCAACTTTGCTTAATATCCCTATGTCGTATTTAACCTAACTTTTAATCTTGATATCTCACTATAATTCGGAAATTAATTGGTGTTAATTACTGTATTGATTGCCAAACTGTTGCATGTTTGCATTGGCTTAGGGGGTTTCTTGCAATTTCGTTCTGTACTGGTTGTAGATGAGCCTCCGTACTAGTTGTGTGCATTCTTTTTTTTATTTTTTTTCCTTCTTATTTATTTATACATGAATTTAATTATTATTATTATTTATTTCTTTTTTTCTCTCCATCTTTTCTTCTCATTATTTTCTTTATACTAGTTTTTAATATTAATTAACATAACTAAGAGTCAATACAATTCGATTATTAATTGTGTTAGCCTGTCTTAGTTTAGTTTCATGTGTAAGTAAATGAAATAAACAAATAAATAAATCAAAGAAAACTCCCTTTCATTTTTATTTTTTTGGTTTTTTTTTAGAATAAAAACGTTCTACCCGCCTGTTGAGTAAATATAAAACCTTCTGAATGTTCAAACCTATAACTTAAGGACATATAACACCGACAGTGGTACATGTGGATATTCATAAAAATAAAGAGCAAAAAACCTAAAATGATGGGATGTGTACTTAATACATTGATGCCGCTGCGTTTTGTACAGCCATTATTTACATTAAATCCATCCTCACTGAATTGTTTAGAATAACTGCTGTGGCTCGACGGCCTTAAATAATGTGATGTTACCATTTCGCCACAAATAGAGTTATGTTTCTGTCGACGATATGAACGTATAAAATTTGGTATCCGCCTGAGTGGCCGAGTAGGCAAGAGTCTCGACTAGTAACTCAATAGTCGTGGGTTCAAACCTCAAGTGCGGTAGAATTTTTAATAAAAGCCGATAGCCCTAGATGCTAGTGCTTTAAGACTTTAGTCTTAGAATTTATTCTCTGGCTAAATTTATAATAATAATAATAATAATAATAAAATATGAACCACTGTATTCCACTTTGTGTTGCTATTGCATTTTTTGCTTGTTGGAACTGTTTGTACGTAAACGTATATCTTGTTTCGATTACAACGAAACTTGAAATGAATTTTGCAATAGTAGTTCACCTTGTTCCACGAGGTCGGTTGGAAATCCAGTTACACCCATTTGATGCATAGAATGGTTGGCATATTTTAATACGAAATGCATGCTATCTAAAGCTTTTTGTAACTCTTTGGTACAACTGGCGCTATCGCTGAAGCGTAACAAATCTTTCAACAATAAGTGGTATTTCGTTAGGCATTGCACAGATTTCAATAGATAAGTGGCCAGCGGTAGTAACCTAAACGCTTTCGGCATTCTTGCAAAAAGGGATGTAAAGGTATGTAAACCAAAGACTAAAGTAAACGTCGTGAACGAGGAATATTTTCACAGTAAAATGGATACAAAAATAAAATCTATGCCGTCTTTGCACAAAAATTAAAGCCACAAGATATGTAGTGGACATACAAATCTCCAAATTTTAAAGAAAAGCCCTATTTTGAAATGTATACAGTTCGTGTTAATTTTCGAACAAAATGTCTGTCGCTTGCCAGCGAGTCACTGAAAACATTTGATCGCAAAAACCATTAAATATTGAGCTCATTCCATATATATACATTCTCTCCGCTTCTAAAAGCTGGATTAAAACATGACCGCGTTTTAGACTTCTTAGGGCGAAATCCTGATCACTAATATCCAGGTTACATGCGTTATCAGCATTTAATAAAATTTGTAGAAATCCGTAGATCGAGGACGTAATTCGTGTATAGCGTCAGCCTTATATTTTCTGCGTAACATATGTGGTGCTCTGCCCGGTGACTCCATTTGTACCGCTGGTTCTGGAGCAACTGTTTGCACTAGTTGTGGGGGTTTTAAAACGGATTTTTTTAGACTGGATACGTTTATTATCTATCAACGACAGATCATCAATTATTTACAAAAGTTGAGATACTAGCGCATTGATTTCAGGTGTTACACTCCAAAAAAAAATTTTTTTTTAGCCAAGGATGGAACATTCGGAACCTTAACCGGATTCGCTAATGGCAGGCTCACAAGTTTGATCGTTGACGATGAGGATGAAAAGGAATGATGACGAGCAACATGGATCGACGTGTGAGATTTAGGGGAAGGCCGAGGTAAAATATTGCTTCACTACAAGTTGGTCTTTTACAGGCTGGGGAAGAAGTGCTGTAGGTAGCGACATTTTTTGAGCATTGTTTTAATTTTGTCAAACTTTCTCTGCAGCACCAGATCAGTAATACCTGCACACTTCGCATGACAATAACGCTCGCTTCGCTACTTATTAAGTAGCGAAGCGCTCAAAATTAGGGCTTGTTTTATTTTTATGTACATAAACATTCTATGTCAGACAGCGACAGTCACTGTAGTGGTTGTGAAGAAAGAGAAAACAAAAAAGTTTCTCACGTATTTAAAAACGATCTCCAAAATTAGTTCGAAAATTTCACGCTATAAAAAACAAAGCAAACAAGAACATTTCGAACAAAATTCAGTTTAACAAATACGATACAAATCGTAAATGGTCTACCATAAAACAATATAAAATTTGTAGTATACGCCTTAAGCCACATTTTCTGAGGTTCTTTATTCAGAAGTCATGCCGCATAGATGCCTGCACTAGGAAACGTAATCCACAGCTCCAGAGCTAGCACCGAATAGCCGACAGCAAATTCAGAGCAGGCGGGTGGAAATAGAACGGTTAAAACGCAAGGCAAAGATGGACAGCAATCAATATTCAGTATTGTAGTAATCTGTGAAAACGGTAAAAGAAATAATATAAATATATTTGTGTTTTTTTTCTTTGAGGGAGAAGCTATCACCCTCTTGAATGAAGATTCCTTCCTTAATAAATTGTTGAACTTAAAAGAAGAAAAGCAACCTTTGACATTAAAATGGACCGGTGACATCACCCGTGAGGAGAACCATTCGATCATTCTCACGTTAACAAAAGCAAGTAAAGTAGAAAGAAATTTAGTGCAAACAACGTCCGCGCGGCTAAGGAATTGGACGTGCCCACAAAATCCATCGATATGTCTCTAATGGCTGCTAAATATACGCATCTAAACGACATTCCCATAGAATCATACCATGGGGCAAAACCGATCCGGTTGATTGGTGCGAAAAGTTGGAAATCGGTAATCTTACTAAAAATACAAGATGGCGTATGGAGGAAACCTATAGCTACGAGGGGCTTTACAAAGTTCATAGTCGGCAAACCCCAAATGTTTCTTAATAAGTGTGCATACTCGCGTATGCAAAAACCAGATGGAGGCGTTGCACAATGAAGTGAAAGAATACTTTACAAGCACATCATCGCTGGAATCAGCTAACGATTATGAAGCCGTTCAATTGTTAAAGAAAAATTGTGTTAAAAAAGAAATGTTTACAAAAGAAACTCCAACAGAATGTCACATTAAAGAAGCAGATGGAAAATCCAGTCAAAACCTTGTTCGATAAAGGCTATGTGCGCAAAGTAAACGCAGAAAAGGAACAAAAGGCGGCTAGACGCAACTATATTCACTACTTCTAACACAAACAAACCAAGTAAAACTAAATTAGTATGGGACGTTGCGTCCAAATCAAGCGGATTTTCCTTCAACGATTTCCTCATGAGTGATCCAGATTTGTTAGATCCTATGTTTGACCTACTAGTCCATGCCGTTAAGAATTGCCACTGTATGGATGGTTTTATTAACAGTGTCGGTGATGAAGAAGAAGCGCTTTAGTTCGCGCTATCAGTAAAAAAAATATATCTAACAGTAGGCTTTCGCACGCGAAAATGGTCAACAAATTCGGCTAAACATGAAGAAACAATTGTGCAATGATGAAGATCCGAAATACGCTGATCAGCGACTCGGAGCACTTGAAAAAATTTTTGCTATGTGCTGGCAGCCAATGAATAACAATTCCACTTTTATTTGCAGACTTGCGAAGCTGTGGCGAAACGCATCTAACGTTGACGTTATTGCTCTCATGTCAATTTTTGACCCTTTATGTTCCATTTCACCTTATTTATCAGCTAAAAATCCTCTTGGAGTTGGATTGAGACATCAAATTCTCAATCCTGCTGCAGAACAAGTGGCGGCAGTGGTCTCTTACATTTAACCAATGAAAATTTCAGGGTATCATATTTGTTTATTTCCTATAGCCACGAGCGTAACCTAGCCACAATTAATAAAGTGTAGTGAAAAGGTTGAGATTTCTATGTTACCTATGTTTGTACTAAGTATGGTCGGTAACCTGTTTTTATACTAAGGATGGAATTGAACCCAGCAGTGATAGGTGTTCGATTAACGAACAGTTTCGAAGACCTGAGCAGAATCGAATTAGCATCCACGCCATTTCGCAGATTTCAACAGAGTACTAAGATGGGTCTCATTAGACACAATAAAATTTAAACAAATTGTTCTGTTGCATGTTAGAGAAATTCTTGAGACAACATATACAAAACAATGGAAATAGGTACAAAACAAAACTTCATAGATTTACCGACTAAAATTACCACTACGAATGGCTTGCTGCGATGTAATGACTATAGCACTACGCATGCAGAGGAGTTGCGCCACCCTATTTTATTTATACATAAAAGGGCACACGTTACAGTCGACGATAAATATTTCTCTTGTTGGAGGGGAATATATCGCGCAACTGCCACCTTTATGCTGTATCTAAAAAGCATAGCCAGCGCACTATAAAATCTGAAAGGCTGCCATAAACAGTTACTTATGAAATAATAAAGGAGTCAAATATATATCTCATGAGGCAAGTTGAGGACGTGGCCACTTGGGTACGATTACGAAATCCATCAACTCAAGCATATTGAAAGTATTGTTACGAAATTCAACTGTCTCGGATACGATTCGTATCGCTAGATCGTGATTTTTCTAAGAGAAATACACTTCCACGTTTTCACTTCACGATTCTTTATTTATAATCAATTTGTTTAAAGGTAGGACTAATTATGTTTTACTATGACAATACTCTCGGCTTCTCAATCCTAATATTCTTGTCCGACTGACTTCCGCAAATAGTCTAATTATATACATTTTTACAAGCACATTACTATTACCTAAGTTCATGACTTCATTTTTAGTCCGTTAGCCTCGTTTTCCGCTAATCGTTTTCTTCGGCCAGCAGCTGTATGACGCGCCGCGAATCTGCAGTTGAGTTTTCCCTCTCTAGGGAATTTATTATTTGGGAAAATCAACTAGTTGGAATGAACTGGACTAAGGATTTCCCTAACAATATTTATAACAAATTTTTAATCAACATTTGCTATAGGCTTTTACCGTCTTTTGTCTGTTGAAAGCGCGGTTGTAAGCGGATTTTGCCGCAATAAGGCGTTGTTTTCGTTTTCGGGTTGACAACTGCTAACTGGCAAACACACGTATCAAACATAATGGATATGGTGCGCGCCTCTGCTCAATTAGATTCCCAACTTCCTTATCGACTTTGGACAGCACTTAGCAATAGCCTTTTCCAACTGTTTATCTCCCAAAGACCGACGGAGATA